TGGGTTTGGGATGATTATATATATATATATATATATATATATATATATATATATTAAGGCATATCCAATCGATCAACAGGTCTTAACAGTACATTTTGGAATGCATAGCCACTGAAAAAAAAGAAAAAAAAAAAAAAAGAAGCTGAGAAAATCTCCAAAATCGTAGATGACTCTCAGATTCCATTGAGGGTGACGACGACTTTGCGAGCAGTAGGGTAATCACGGTGCTCACACAGCCATATTCCCTGAAAACAGAGAAGGGAAATTTGAATGGCATGACATTGTTCTTAATTCTTATTTATCATATAGATAGAATAGAAGATCATGTTGTTAGTGGTAATGGCAGCTAAGTTTGTATGAAACGAAATCAAATGAATACATCCTTCTCTTTCTCTCTCTCTTTGAGGCAAACTCCAATATTACATGACAACGCCACACCTAGCCCCTAGGCGCCTCAAGTTCGAATTGATTCATATCATGAGAATGAAGGTATCTCCACGACGAATAAGCAAAACAGACTTTAAGTTTCACAAGTAGAGCAATCACACTCTGCTGCTGTTTTCATTTCTACTCGTATCCTTTGGGTGGGTTTGGGTGGTATTGTAAGTATTAATAAAACGCCAATATATATATATATACCTGCCAAGTTCCCATGTTAAGTTTGCCGTTGGTAATTGGAATTCTGCAGCAACACAATTATCACAAAAAGATCAAAAGACCCGCTGAGCAAGAAACAAATAAAGAAAAGAAACCAATGAGCCAATAAGTAAGTGAATGGAATGGTGACTCACGTAAGTGCACAACCAAACATTGATGATTTAATATGTGCGGGCATGTCATCGGGGCCTGCAAAGTGATATTATTATTAAATATAAAGAGAGAAATTGCTTAATTAAGTGATAACAAAGAAAGAAAGAAATGGAATAAAGCTCTACAACTCAGAAGTCAGCAGTCTGACCTTCCAGCGTATGCTTCCAGGGTGCAGAAGCTCCCTGAAACACAGAGAAACACCAACAGAGTGAAAGAGCCAGACAGTGGAGTTGTTGTTTAAATATGTGCACACACACATATACATACATACATACATACATATATAAAGTAAAAGAAAAGAAAAGAAACGAACCGAACCTCAGGGACAATGTTATTAAGGAAAGTCTCAGTGTCGTGGCGAACATCAGAGTCGTAATTCTCATTGATCGTGAGTGAAGCACTCGTGTGATGCACTGCCCCAACATCACACCAACACAAGATTAAGACCCCTCCTCAATTCATTTTTAAATTTCCTACTAATTTATCTCTTCAATGAAATCAATCCAGCATTCATTTTTTAAATAATAAAAAAAAAAGATTCATGTCATCCAATTTAATAATTGATTGGGGAGGCTTACAGAAGAGATGAGCCAGGCCAACGTTGAACTGGGACAAGTCTTCACCAATTTCTTTCACAATCTAACAAAGAGAGAATGATAGAAATTAAACTCTAATAAATTAGGCCCCAACCCCACTACTACTAGTGTGAGTGTGACTGACGAGAGAAAGGAAAAAGGGGATTAGATTAGATTAGATTAGGGCAAATTATCTTAAAGAAAAGGAGAAAGGAGAAAGGAGAGAGAGAGGTTGCCTTGGGAGTTATGAGGTGGCAGCCACGGCGAAGAGGAGGGAGAGTGATGGTCTTCTGGGCCCACTTGGGAGCGGAGGCGGCGGAGGAAGCCATCTTGTCTTTCTTATTATTAGCTTCAGCTTCAGTGTAGAGCGACCTCACGGGGACGGGAAGCCGATTCGATTTGAGAAACGCCGTTGAGCCTTGACCACCTTGTTGTATTAGGAGTTGGAGTTGCAACACCATCCTTCAACAAAAAAAGAATTAAAGAAATGCCTTGTAAATCTAATTTGGCGATTTTTATTATTTATTATACAAGCCCAATTACTTGTATTTCTTTTTTCCAATTATATTATATTTTTCCAACCTCAAACGTGGCATTAGACCCCACCTCTCTCTCTTTCTTGTTACATGTGGTGGCGATGTGGCATTGCCTTTGATTTTTTTCAGTTTTCACTCACAGATGTGAACATGGCATTAGAATTTTCGTTTTAAGGAAAAAAAAAAAAAAAAAAAAAAAAAAAAAAAACCCCCCCCTAATTCCAAAAACTCCCCTTTTTTTTAAAAAAAAAAAAAAAAAAAAAAAAACATACCCACCCACTAATTCCTAAAACTCCCCTTTTTGTTTCCATAATTTTAATTTTAATTTTAATGTGTGGAAAATTGATTTGAGGGAAGCTATCCTTGTTGATGGGCCGTATTAATGGAGGCAGTTGGAGCGGCCCACGAAAGCCCAAGAGCGTACCAACCAAAACCAAGAGCAGCAATGGATTCTTGAGGGTGGAACTGCAAGTGATTTTGGCGGGGCCGGGGGCGGGAGGGTGCTAAAATTCACAAACAAAATGAAAAACAAGATGCTCAGCCTCGAACTCATCCCCTTCGTGTTATTATTGGCATTAGACCTATTGTGTGTGAAAATATACGTTGATATGTCGGATGATGGCCACACTCCACGTGGCTTAAAACCTACCACGTGCCGTTGACGCCTAAAATTTATTTCCCCATTGCCATCTGGTGAAAAGGCCGACCGTATATGACGATTCATACAACCGTCGACCCTACATACAGTCAGAGACATGTATAATTTATTCGCAACAGAAGGGGTACCATCAGGGGGTCGACCAAGACAGAGGTCGTGCTCTGTGAAGTATAGTGCAAGCGCAGATGACAGAACGCATGAATATGGGTCCACGTACCAAGAAAGGCCTTTGAGGGGACAATGGGGAAATTCCTAGGTTACGTCTAGGTTTGGAGAAGTTCAGTAGCACAGGAAATGATTACATGCCCATAAACCATCTGGAATGGACTAATGAAAATCACAGAGGATCCATAGAGCCGCAATAGTAGACAAAGTGGGTGAGTGAACAGTCCAAAAGGTGTTGAGAAGCTACGGTCTAGGCAGGTAGGATAATAGACTACTTGAGAGAAACCATCAGAAAACCCCTGTGACAATCCGCCCAAAAGAGACCCATATGTAATTTGTAGGCTATAAAAAGGGCAAAGCCCCATAGAGAGAGGGAGAGAGCTTTTTGTAATCTTAAAAGCACAAAAGGAAAAATACAAGAACCAATGGATGTAGCTCCTTTTTATAAAGTGAACCACTATAAATTCGTGTGTCTCTTTACTTCCGTTCTAACAAGAAATCTAAACATTATTCAATATATCTCCAAAGCAAGCCCAATCAGTTGCATAAATATGAAAATATAGCTAGTTTTGGCCGGTAACCCAACGGACCATTAAGACGTAATCCGGCGTAATCTTATTGACAAAATTCTACTGTCAACGAGACATAATCTGTCTCTACAAAGAGCAATCTGCATTAGACCCATCTTAATTTGATTGATTTTTTTGTTCAAAAATGTGTTTAAAAAAAGGTTATCCTTTTAGATACGAGGTACCATGAGAGTCATGGATAGAAACTGCAGATATAGTTCATGCGCATTTGATATGCATTTCAAATACAATAATGACATAATTAACTGAACCCTCCCAGATTGGAATGTATACCCTGTTATGATATGTTTTTCCGTATCTTCTATGCCAACCGAATTGAGGCTGCAACTCCTGTCACAGTGAGAATTGAAGTTAGGGACGTGAAAGGATTACCTGTGGCGGGCGACAACAATATCATTTTCAGAATTGCATTCCGGCAAAATACCAACTCCGTGAAGAGCGTGAGGAGGAATTCAGAGCCACTGCAAGTATCACTTCCATCCATGGATTGTCAGACGAGTACCTTTTAGTTCATTGTCGTTTTTCCTTTATAATAGATATAAAAACGACTTGTCGTTTTTTAGCTAAAAGCATTTTGTCGCTTGCTGCATTTCCGCTCGTTTATCAAACTTTGTCAGTTGTGCTTTTCACTGCTTTGGATTTTGTTTTTGATATTAGATGTGGACCCGACTCATGAAGTCAAGTCAGTCTCTGGAAATAATAAATAAACAATCGAAAAAAAAAAAAAGAGAGAAAAACGAAAGAGGCAAAAATCGAAGCCGCGTGAGTGTTGGGTAATTGGATCGGCAACGGATGAGATGGCGTAAGACGCGTAATAAGTCTTTCAACTTATTGGACTGAGAGTTTCAAAGTTTGACGAAAGTACCCTCTCTCTCTCTCTCTCTCTCTCTTCCCCAGCCACCATTAAACAATTGAATTGAAATATCAAAACCCAGAGAGAGAGAGAGAAAAGAGGACCAACAACACATCATCCGATCATCGTCTCCAAGGCTGATCAGAGCTATATATACGAAGATGATGATAAGGTTCATGTTACTTCTAGTAGTAGCGGTAGTACTGGAACTGGTGGAAGTGAAAGGGCAGCAAAGCTACGTCAACAACCACCAGCTCGACTGCTACAACCACTACAACTCCACCGACGGCTTAGTCTGCCGCCACTACGACACCGTAAACGACATCGGCAGATGCTCCTCTTTTCTCACTTTCCGATCCATCCCTCCCTACGACTCCCCGGTGTCCATTGCCTACCTCCTCCACTCCGACCCCGCCCTCGTCGCCGCCGCCAACAACGTCTCCGACGTCGATCGCATCCCTTCCGACCGCCTCGTCCTGGTCCCCGTCAACTGCTCCTGCACCGGCCACCGCTTCTACCAGCACAACGCCTCCTACTCCCTCAAGACTACCTACGAGACTTACTTCACCGTCGCCAACGACACCTATCAGGGCCTCACCACATGCCAGGCCATGATGGCCCAGAACCCTTCCTTGGACGATCGCAATCTCTCCGTGGGCATGTCCCTCCAGATCCCACTCCGATGCGCTTGCCCTTCTCCCAACCAAACCGCCTTCGGCGTCAAGTACCTCCTCAGCTACCTCGTCACTTGGCGCGACGAAATCTCTTCCATTGGCCGCCGCTTCGGCGTCGACTCCCAGAGCCTTTTGGACGCCAACATGTTATCCTCCGCTGACATTATCTACCCCTTCACGCCCCTTCTTGTGCCCCTTACAGCCCAGCCTTCCTCCTCAATCGGCCTCAATCAGTCGCCCAATTCTCCTCCTCCGTCGCTGCCACCTCCCGATGAAGCCAAAACTAATTCTAAGAAATGGGTGTTTGTAGGTATCGGCGCGGGGGTTGCCGCTGTGATGCTGTCTACTTTGACGTTTTGCTTCTTGAGGCGATGGAGAAATACAACAAAGCAAAATGATGCCAAGTATGGAAATGAAATTAATCCTAACCCTGATAGTAGTGCTGCGGCCACGGCATCAACTTGGTCTGACCGAGAGTACTACACCGCGCCACTCGCGGATAGCAAGTCAACGTGGTCAGTTTCCTCAGGACGAATTCGATCTGCGGTAGAATCTTTAAGTCTCTATGACATAGAAGAGGTGCGGAGGGCGACGGATTCCTTCAGCGAAGCTAACAAGATTCAGGGCTCCGTCTACCGGGGAAGATTCAAGGGCGACGACGCGGCTGTTAAGGTGATGAAAGGGGACGTCTCCTCCGAGATAAACATATTGAAGCACATAAATCACTCCAACGTGATCAGGCTCTCGGGATTCTGCATGCACCAAGGAAACACCTACCTTGTGTACGAGTATGCCGAGCGTGGCTCTCTCAACCAGTGCCTCCAACGCCAAGCTGCTGCTGCTGCTGCTGCTTTGACTTGGAAGCAGAGGGTAGAGATTGCCCACGACGTCGTCGATGCCCTGAATTACCTGCACAACTTTGCGGACCCTCCTTACATCCACAAGAACCTCAAGAGCAGCAACATCCTTTTGGATGGAAACTTGAGAGCCAAGGTTTCCAATTTGGGGCAAGCAAGAAGAGCTGGGGTTGGCAACGAGGAAGGGTTCCTGCAGTTGACAAGGCATGTGGTGGGCACTCAAGGATACTTGGCCCCCGAGTACATCGACAGCGGGGTCATAACGCCAAAGATGGATGTTTTTGCGCTCGGGGTGGTGATCTTGGAGCTCTTGTCCGGAAAGGAAGCAGCAACGACCCACAAGAACAACTGCAACAATGAGGAGTTGCTCTTCAACTCCATAACAAGAGTCTTGCAAGGAGACAATGTGAGAGAGAAACTTAGAGGATTCATGGATCCTGCACTGACCAAAGCCGACTATCCCTTGGATTTGGCATTCTCCATGGCCCAATTGGCTAAAGCTTGCGTTGCTCCCGACCTCAACTCTCGTCCCGACGTTCGTCGAGTCTTCATAACTCTCTCTAAGATCCGATCCTCTACACGCGATTGGGATCCCTCTGACGAGCTTCAACGTTCCCCGTCTCTCACCGATCATGCCATTTAAGGCACCGCATTTACATACATTCTTCTACATGTAGGTCATTTTTATATGATAACTGGTTGACGCTTGCCACCCTTGTCATTCCCCCCCGTGTGGGGATATTAGCTTTGAGACATCCACTTGTCTTTTCCCGCATTGGAATGAAACTTAATATTAGCGTTATGTTCTTTGTTTAAGATTGTCATTCAGTTATATTATTCTCTAGTCGGAAATGTAAGATTCAATATCCAAAAAAAAAAAAAAAAAGTAAAAAAATGTTAAGCGTACAGCTATCATCGAATGAAAAATTCATCATAGGATAATAGAATGCAAAGATAAAAGAAACACCTATGGCCTATAATTCCTGGAATTACTAAACCAAAGCCAATTCGAATAAATGATAACAATACAATTGGCATAATTTACATACAATTGGAAGGAGATTATGTTTACTTTCGAGTGTAACTTTTTGACTAAACAACTTATCCATCTAGCTTCTGCAAGACCTTCCAATATCTGACACAAGAAGGATTAGTATGAATGGCCCTAAGAACCCATCTCTGTGGACTCTGACAGCACTCCACATTGGAAGAGTCCGGCCCCGCTCTTGATTGTCTTGCAAGCAAATGCATTTGGAAGAAAAGCTCAGCAGGCCTCATTTCTGCAAAGATAAAACATGATAAGAGCATGGCTTTCCTTCCAGTGACAACAGAATTACAGAACCATATTCATGCAATGTGGTCGGATAACATAACGAACACACCTGGTGGCCAAGTAAACCATTCGTGACGCAGGCTATTCTCCCATTTTTCTTTGGAACCAAGGCTTCCTTCTGCTTGAGCCAATAATGCAGAGATAAACGGTAGAGGGGTTGCCGAAGCTTCTCGAGCTCTCCTCAGACTTCTAATTGCAAGCAACAATAATTGTGAATCACACCACTGTCTGGCAAGCTCCAAACAGGTAGCACCTGCACTCATCAATTATCTAATCACAGCGACAAGCAACTACAAAATACCTAGCACTATTCAGAATGTACAGAACTATCCACATTTAAACATCAAACAAGTCCGGTCACATGCATTCACACGACATTGATTACCAAAAGGCCTCACATATGCCTAACCAGAAATGTTATGGGTCAGAAAGACAAATCACTTCGCTAGTTTTTTTTTTCTTTCTTTTTTTAAAAAATAATAATAATAATAATCACATCACTAGTTAGTTTAGCCGTCACAATCAAAACATTCCAGTTAAATTTAAACCAACATGTTAAAACTTAGATTTACGCTAACCAGAAAATACTGATACTAAACACTTCAACCGAAAAGAATAAACACTGCAGGCTAGTGCCTACCATGACATAGCTGGAGGCAGCTCTCAGCGCTTGCCAATGAACAGGCTCGTCTAAGAAAGTCTTCAGCAGAAAGGAAATCCTGCTTCCACACACAAATCAAACCTTGCACTAGATGAAATACAGCCATCCACATGTTCGGTGGATCCTTCCCTTCCATCAAGCACCCATTGAAGTTCAACTCTGAGAGATTTAAATCATTTTGCAAGCCATATTGCGATTCAATAATTTTTAGATAAATCCAACCAACATAGCAATCTGTCTTCAGCTCCAAACACCTTATATACTCTTTCTGAAGGTTGGTAAGATCACCATCTGATGCATAAGCACGGCATAATAGCAAGTGTGCAAAAAAGAGATAACCGTCGGGAAGTGTGATTGATGAAGCATTTTTGGCATGGTTGACACAACCATTTTGATTTCCACCTTGCAAACTGAGCTCAGAAGCACAAAGGAGAAGTTGGAACTTTTGATATTGATAAGACACGTCTATCTGAGAATAACATTCATCGGAAAGAGCCACACAAATGAGCCGCTCAAGCATGATACATATGTTATGGGGAAATCTCTCTTCTCGTGCTTTCTGGAGTAAATTGAGGATAAGTAAATACCTCACACTCTGGTTCCATGGTTCTCGACGTAAGCATCTGCACATTGAAAACAAAAATATTAGTTTCCTATAAAGAGGAAAGTTTATTAAGAAAACAAATAAGACCACTGAAAGTAAAACCAAAAGGAAATGTCAATTAAACAAAAATGTATGTTGCATGCATAAAAAAAGGTACTCTTGAGTGTAAAACATAAATTTCTTCAAGAAGTAAACCTGAAATATAAATTCAGCATATCACATTAAAAGCAAAATTATGAGGAAGGCCAACATTTTTCCAGTGATGAACCGCAAAGAAAATATGATATTTTCCTCTTTAAGGAGAAACTCACTCTTTAAATCCAGAAGAAAAATCCATTGAAATTTTCATGAACTAAAATTAGCTATTGAAATTGAACATTCAAATGAAAAGCTTATTTTCTTTTTAGTTTTTACTTTCTTCAAAACTTCAGCAAGGATTTGACAACTCAAATTCAAAACACAAAAAATTATCTTAATAAGACTTGCTAAACCAAAATGATGCCTTGCAATTGACAATTCAAAATCAGAGGCAGGGGGACGAATGCAATACTTCTGCAGCTGCTCGGTAGCTTCAGGATTCAGACATTGATATGAGCACGTTGGAAAGGAAAACTTCGGATTCCTAGTGCTTAGCGCATAGCAAGCAACAGATCCGGCACCAAGGATTTCATATGTTGATTTCAAACCTTTCACTAGACCATTAGAAACATCTCCGAAGCAGCACCTAGTTGCAAGATGCGAATCATTCCATTCTTCCCCAGACAGCAAGAGATAACCAAGCAGGTTCCTGTTTGCAGCAGATTTTGTCAGATGAAACCTCAAAGACAGAATGTAAGTTGTTTGGGATGTTTACAGAATTTGATTGTTTCTCAGTTTTTTTTTTTCCCTGTTTTAGTTACTAATAGTTTTCGTTCTGTCTTTGCTTTTTTGAGAACCCGTAGTTATCTCTTTTTGTACGTTTTTCCATTTGATAAATTGTCTTGTTTCCTATCAGTCACTCGCTCACATAACTTAAACAGGACGCCAGCTGCCTAGGATATATACACAATTCTGTTATGCGACATATTTTCTCAATCAGAATTTTACAAAAATGTTTCAACAATAAAAGGAGCTACTGCTTGTAACTTCAGTGTAATCTACTTGTAATTCATATTCCAGATTATTTATTAACAGAAATAGAAACTTCAACGACATATTCCAAATTTATTGACAAACAGGACTGGACAATTCAACCATATCATTTTATGTTTTGACTACTTTATGACATAATCTTTGTGATGTGCTTATTTGTAGATAATGAAGTTTAGCATATACCAGTTAAAAAGGAAATCTACCCATATTTTTAGATAATGAGGTTCAGAAATTGCAATCATATGGTTAGACTTAGAATAGCTTAGAAAAATTATTAGACCAAGATGCAAGGCTCTGACGAAGGCATAATCTAGCGTTCATACATCATTTCTATAATACCTTAACAGACCACTATTAGGGTACATGTGAAGAGCTTTTCTGAGGTGAGCCACTCCACTATTAAACCCAAGAGAAGATCCCGACCCATTTTTTACCTGCATAATCAAGAACCGGCAACAATATCGATTAGTTTTCATATCAACTCAACTAAAACATAAAAAGTCAACCAAGTGTGCAAAAGCTCGAGATCAACAGTTGGGAGTAAGAAACTTACTAATTTACCAAGTGCAATTAGAAAGTGCATTCCACTTATATCTTCAGGAGATTTGAGGTAGTAACGGCTGCTTGCAACGACAGACTCGAGTCGATTACTTCGGTCGAGAGCATGAATGGCAGACACTATAAAACTGATTCTTGAACTCTGAAACAGTTCCTTTGGCATTTTCAGAATACTATTAATTGCTGAATCTAGGCCAGAAATGGAATACAGCAATCGACAAATAAAACTAACAGAGGCAGCCGCATAAATGTGCTCCATACTAGAAACACTAGCAGCAAGATTTTTGACCACAGAGAGGGCCAAGTTACTTTGACCAAGTTTCCACAAGGATAAAGCATATATGTGTAGACCTTCCGCATCAAGCAATCCTTAAACATCAAATAATAGAATATAATAAATCAGAAAGTGACGGAAACAAGTTCCAAGTTCAATATAACATAACTAAGCAATTCTCCTGGATTCAATCAGAAAGAGAACGAGTCATGAAATGGAGAATAAAAAGAAAACAGGTAGCAGCGACAGTATAGGATTAGTATTACTGCCTTGCAGAAACACCAGCAGTAAACTCCCAAAACTTCTAAACTCAAAAGGTTATAAAATTTGGGGTTCAAAATTCACCTTGGTGTTAAACGTAGAAGAAATTGAAAGAAGAAAAAGTTGAGACCAAATATGCATTGTTCTCCTAAGAGAGCGGTAAAGGATATACATAAAAGAAATAATTAAATCAAACCATATAACTCATTCTCTAATATTTGGCTGTAAAACTAAGGGAAACATTTCTGGCACTACTAGATATTACATTCTGTTATTTAGCTGTAAAGCGAAAGAAGGTACAATTGCAAGTCACACTGTACACAAACCTTCTATTTTCAAGTTTTCACATTCCTGTGCGGCATCTAGAAAATTTCCAGCCTGCGCCAAATAAATGTATCTTCTTAAGCATACAAAACAAAGATGAAACCAACACTCACAAATGTAAAACCCGTAGTTGGAAAGAAATTACATATTTATTTGGGCCGTAAAATTAAATCACAAACTTTTACCTTACTAAGAGATCTGGCCAAATTAATTGATATATCTCTGATTTGAGATTTTGAAACACAGGAGAAAGAGTCAGCGGCTCTGCATCGAGCTAGCCTATAAGAAGCGGCAGCAGACAGATAATCATATCGTGCCTCACAAACCAGCCCTTTCAAATTATGGCTTTCTGGATAGTGAGGGGTGCGCTCCACGGCCTGCATGATAGCTCCAAAAACCTGCAAGCAATTAACAGCATCAGCAAATTGAGATTCCTGAAGTATGCCTCTACTTAGTTGTTATTTCCACCAAAGAAAAAAACTGCAAACATTAGTTACTACTATCATGGCAAATTCCTATTCAATCTTTGAAGAAGTTGAACCTGTGGAGATGAAAGATGTCCTGAAACCACTGCAAGCTTAGCAAGACCAATTTGAAATTCTGCAAGCTGCAAGAAATAAATTTTGTAAACAGTAGGTTTTCTTATCCATCTAAAATCATTAAAAAAAAAAAAAAAAAAAAAAAAAAAAAAAAAAAAAAAACCAAACAAACAAACTTATAGAGCAAAGTGTAATGAAATAGATTTATTTCCTAATACTTTCTATATATCACGTTAGAAAGAAAAACACCAAGTAATAGTCGCTAGTAATGTAATCACCACTCTCATGGTAGACCATCAGAGTTGTCGCGTTTCTGCAACATGACAGTTCTGCTTCGCTACCACACATGCGGAGGTGGTGATGTACCACAGCTATAATAGAGAAGCAATATAGAAGGGGAATAAGAATTACAGGCAAAATTTGCACAGCTCGTAAACAACTCTCAAAAGCCTCATCTGCTGCTGGCTCCCTGACATAAGAAGTGAATCTCCTTGTTAATATGGCCTCAGCTGGTGGATAATTTTTATAGATTTAAGTACAAAAGTAATCTTTGCAAAAAGTTTACCCAGCATGAAAATCAGCTGACATGCCAGCCCATGGTAATGCAAGTGAAGGATCTATACTTCTCGAGCAATCAAAAGCCTGTCTTGCCAATTGCCTCTCATTATTTCTCCTATAGAGCTGAGAAGGGGGGAAAAGGTAAAACAACAAATAATGAACCCCAATATTTCCTTTTTAACTTCTGACTTCCACTAAAAAAGAGAGAAAAATTCTACAGAACCTTTCTTTTAAAAAAAAAAAGCAAATGTTATAAACAAAGAGATGAGAAGTTACCTTCCCTAAGTATGCCCAAGCAACAGCTAGAGATGCATCCAGTTGCAAACCCCGAATTAGAGCATGTTGTTTTAATGTGTTATGATTAGACAAATGTCCCAAAGCCACCCAGAACTCGTAATTTTCAGTTTCAAGTAACAAGGCCCCCAAGGCCATCTTCTCTGGTGGCTGCCTGGTAAAAGAATGGTAAGCCCTTGAGAGTATAATGACACGGTATTATAGTTATACAGAACTAATAAACAAAAGGAATCATACCAAGCATTTAAGTCATGACTAGGGCACTCGGTCAAAGAGGATACAAGATCTGAACTAATTGCAATATCTGTATAGATATTTGCTTGCCATGGAGCCAAGAGCAAAGCTCGCTGATAAGAACATCTGGCGGAAGTTGCAGCCAAATAGCAGGCACGTTTCCAGGAAACAATGGAAGAATTAAAAGCTTCGACAGTAAGTTCTAAACCCTGGATCTCCACCGCCCATGGGTAAAATTTTGCATATGTGAGCTAGAAAAGAGGAGAATATGTGTAACATCAGTTGACCCATGGCATAATGATCATATTCTGACACATGGATCATGTAACAGAAAAGACAAGATGCAACTGAATAAGAACTTCAAAAGTGCGATGTATAAAAGATAAGGTAAGTCTGAAGCTCTAGATCAACATACCTGAATATCACCATGCAGCTTCCAAATGCATGACAAATTTCCAGCTAAGACGGTAGTTTCCTTAGCAACTTTACATGCCTCCTGCAAGCAATTTTAATATGCACAACTCCAAGGTTGTGAAAGAGGATTAAATTTCCTGACAAGACAAGAAAAGAAAAGGGGGGGACAATGACCTCTAACAATGTAGCTCCCCATCGAAATGCTCCCAAATAAACATATTCCTTTGCGAGACCGAGAAGTCCCGAAGCAAGCCCATAGTTTCCAGATATGCATTTAGGAGAGACCTCCAGGGCCTGACGAAACTGCTCAATTCCCTTCAAAAACAAAAACCAATTTTGTGATAGCAATATCCTTAAAGCAATTAGCGCACTAAATCTCTGACATAATTTGAAGAACTAGTATAATCTATGATTCTATTTGACCAGTTATAGTGACAAATATGCTTTATTATTATTATTTTTTTTTTAGTAGCATAGCATTAGAAGTATAACTAGAAGAGCTAATCCTGCTCTATAAGTTTAGGGAGATAGTTGATGACTAAAAACAAAGAATGATAAGTGAGAAAAAGAGACCACGAGCATTGCTATATAAAATGCAATGAAGGGAATCTTACTTTTTTGAATGAACCAAGCATCAAATGGATGTTTCCACTTTCAACCAAAGCAAAGACCCTCGTCGACTCCAATTCGATGGCTCTTCCATAGGACTGTTAGAATAGAGTACACTAATAAGTATTCGGTCAATGGATAAATTTCTCAACGTAAAAGGATTGAATCACGCGTCATGGTCATAATATAGAATTAGTTTGTTAGTTTTCCGCACAACATCACTAATGCGTTCAAAGTAGAAGGGATTGAAATACATAAGAGTTGTATGAATCATCATTTTAAATCCTTGAGTGGATGCATTCCTCTTGAGCTAATTCCTTATATATGAAAAATAAAAAAACAAATCCAAAATGCAGCCCCTGCTTCTAGCTCCTACCAAATCAAGGCCCTAAAAGAAAAGCAGAGAGAGTACCTTGATCGCAGCGGTAAACCTGCCGAGTCGGTGGTAGGCAAGGCCAAGAGTCTAGAAATGAAGGAAGTGCGTTCATCAAAGAGCATTATGAATGCAATGCAACATGTATTATTATCATATATTTGAGTTTAATAAAAATAAAAAAATGGTGATGGAGAAGGAAAAAGGAAAAGGGAAAGACCTCCCAGAGATCAGGAGACGTAGGATAGCCTGGAATGGCATGTTGAAGAGAGGGAACGGCCTCGGACCAGTTTTTAAGATGGACCTGCAAGTAACCCAATCTGCGAAATGCCCAAAAGGCCTTCGGTGACTTGTTGGAGGCTTCCCGGCAGACGGAGACCTCCAGAGTGTGGTTTCCTCGGTTGTCCAACAAATCGCACAACGCTTCCTAAAACAAAAATAATTGATAATTACAACGATGAGAACACCTGCTTTGCTTTGCCTTGCCTGTATAGGAATATTGAATAATGAACAAAGGAATTTAGAGAGAGAAGAGAAATAGTACGGACCCCGGAATCGGAATCGTTGGGGTCGAGGGAGAGAGCTCTCTGGTAGCACTTGACAGCTCTGTCAGTGTCTTTGTGGTAGCAACAGTAGTAATGCCCTAGGTACCTGAAAACGCCGCCGTTCTGAGGGTTCAATCTGGCCGCCGCTACCAACTGCTCCGCCGCTTTTTCTTTCGATTTCTCGTCGTTCCACAGCAACACGCCCTTCAATTTCCATTCGTTTTTGTTTTGTATTTTTTAATTTAAGTTTAGAAAAAAAAATCAAATCAAATAAAAATGAATGAATGAATGAGTGATAAAAGAGGCTAGGAAATGAATGAAATGGATAGAGGATTACGAGATGAAAACGGAGAGAAGCATCGTCGGGATCGCCCTCGACGGAATCTTGTAGTCGTCGCACCTCCGCCTCCTCCTTTAAAGTTTAAACCCATAAAACAAAACAGACACTCTTTAATTCCCAAAACTAACTATTTCACACAAAATGAGAAGATAAGAGAAGAGAAGAGAAGAGAAGAGAAGAGAAGAGAGACGGAACCATGAACACAGAGCGAGAGACTGCTTCTTCTTCTTCTTCTTCTTGATTGCTTAAACCCTAATACTAAGAGTAAGTGCGGAGTGCAGAGTTAAGGATTTGTTCTCAATTGTGAAGCCAACACCAACAGAAGATTTCCGCGCGCTACCCTTTTTTTTTTGTTTAACCGTTATTTATTATGTCTGCCTGCCTAAATATCTGTTTTATTTTATTTTTGTTTTAACCCCCCATTCATACACCATATAACGCCTCAACAACTGCACTTACTCAGGCTCTGCCTATATTTTCACCAATACAAAAATAAATTGTAATAATAATGTTATATCATATTATTATTATTATTATTATTATTATTATTATTATTATTCACATCTCAAGTACCTTTGCTTTTGCTTTTCCTTTTAATTACTACTCTCGGTAGAAAAAGAACACGGATAATAAATCCATAAAAAGTATATAGTTTTCAATTGAACCAACTTCTACGAATTTGCTTTTGCTTTTTTTTCTTTTTCCTTTTCTTTTTGGCTTTGAAGAGGCAATCTCCAGAACTGAATCCGAAAGGTTAGTTGATAGATTCCTTCAGTGGATCTACCAAAATTGTTAATTGTCTATCATTCTATTCCAACTCTAACGTAAAATGAGGAGAAATTTAATTTTTTTTAAGAGTATAAAAGAAATACTTTTAATTGTACTACACACACTTTACACCATCCAATTCTCATTGAATTTTCATCCATTTTTGCATTTTCTCCTCATAATATGATTATGGTGCAAATGCCGATTTACAGCTAAATACATAAACTATATTTTTACACCCTACACAAAATTCTCCGAAACCAAAACATGTGAATTCAATTCAAATGAATTTTGAATATTCTCTCGTGTTGTCCTGCTGCATACGACTCCTCAGCAGTCAGCACAGCTTAAATGGAAGCATTTACATTTTCTTTTTGGGGGAATATTCTTCGACGCAGTACAAAAAAAGTAACCTATGTACTGTACAGTTTTAAACCATCAAACCTTCATCGACCTTTTTTTTTTCTTTTTAGTACAATCTAATTTGATTTGATGGTTCAAAACTGCTTAGTACAATAGGTTTTTTTTTTTTTTTAGTACAATCTAATTTGATTTGATGGTTCAAAACTGCTTAGTACAATAGGTTTTTTTTTTTTTTTAGTACAATCTAATTTGATTTGATGGTTCAAAACTGCTTAGTACAATAGGTTTTTTTTTTTTTTTAGTCATGTTTTTTAATCTCTAGACTAGACTAGAAGAATGAAAAAAATAATGCAGTCAATCTTGTGGATGTGGAGGGAAAGATGAGGGAAATGGGAAATCTGTGGGAGCCAGATGTGGATGGATGAAGTAGCGAAACGTTGAAGTGTGAGGCAACCAGTGAATGCACTTCTTGTTAGGCGGCCTCCCCTTGGCGAATACGAATGCGATGCACTTTCTAATTATTTCCCTCTTCTCAACATCTTCTGATTCTGAGAAGCTCGCAACTATTACATCCAACAACTCCTCTATTGTCAGCGACACGTCTTTCGCAAAATAGTACAAAACTCTCGGCAACAAAATCTTTGTTTCCTTCTCTATACGGGCACTTGCTTGAATGAACTCTTCCTTGGCAGTTTTCAGATCCCCAAATATACCGTTTGCTGTGTATGCGCGAACCTATAATATTACATTAATTGTTAATTCCACGTTAACAATTTCATACATTCCAATTCTAGCAAAAATGCACTTATTACCAGTAGCTAGTGAAATAAACAAAAACTAACGTACCGCGGGATCGAAATATTCCCCCGAACAAAGTGCAAAATGAACCAGTGGCTCGGGGTATTCCAAGGCGTACTCGTGCCTAATGCTCCGTGCCTTGAATTTCCTTCCTGGGAACAGCGTTTGCAGCCACTGCAACGACAACAACATGTTATTCGTGTTTTCAGAGATTCGGTTATCACAAAAAAGGAATAATTCTTTAAACATCACAAGAGTAGAGAAGAAAGCAGCATAAAACATACCGGAGCTGAGTTGTGAGATCGAATTCCCAAAATGGAGCTTTGAATTATATAAGCGTTTATGCAATGCCCTCCTACATTGTACGCTGCCTGAAAGACGAATTCAACATTCTAAATAAATCGTCTTCTTACATGTTGTGATGGACATATTTGTATCTTTTAATAAAATCATATGATTTTGATATGACATGAAGATTCATAAATGTACAGAATTGGTAAGTTTACAAGACTTTTTTTTAAATTTATTTATTTATTATTATTACCTTAAATATGGAGGCAGTTTTAACACGATTATTGGATCCATATGCTAAGTATGCCTGCACGAATGAGGTTTTCTTATAAGCCATGCCAGGCCAGATATATAAGATATCATGTATCAATCAATAACAAATCTATGATTAAATTCATATTTGAGCTTATGCATACATGCATCACCAGAGCATTGTGAATATTGATCCAAAATGCGAGTTTCTCCTCACGCTTCATCTTCCTCGGATCAACCTTCTCAAGATTTCTAACCAATGACCTACATTAATACATCACAAATTCATTACAAGGTCATTATACATATTAGCAACCCCAAAAAAGACCACACATTTTATTGCAACTAGTTGGATAAACCACCTGAAATACTGCAACATTTTAGCAGCATAGTTGAAAGTGTCGCTGTCTAAACGTATCTTGAGAACTTCTATCATGGCAGCATACGGTCCAGTACCATCTTCTTTCAAACCATGACGCGAACGGGGACTCCAACTGTCGCAAGGATTCCTAGAAGAAAATACAGTTGAAGAGGACAAGGATGAATTTGGAGAAGCTGACGAAGTGACATGAGCGGGTGGAGGATTGACGAGTTTGCAATAGACAGAAGAGATGCATCTCACTATGTCTTCAGAAAGTCTATCTGGAGCTTTAAGGCTATTATTGACAATGCAAGAAGCACCAAGGTGATCAGCTAGGCTGCGATGACCAGAACCCGCAACCTTCTGCCCCTGCAAATGCTCACGCCCAGAGAGTCGACAAATGTATAAATTGTTATTGTCATTTTCCAAAGAAGAAAAATAAAGTTGAATGTAAATGGAGATAGATAGGTGTATTACCCTTGTAGTAGTTGTGGGTGTTGGTTTTGGGGTGGTGACAGGGCTGTGATGGTAGGGACTGGTCCAAGCATGCGCAGGCGAATTTTGAGGATGATGGAGCGAGTTGACTCTGCAGAAGTGTGAGTCAAAACCCCACAATTTGGAAGCGGAAGGTGATGAAATGTGTTTCCGGAATAGATCTGAAGAAGTGGATGTAGGTGTACTTGGGAGAGTGGAGATTTGACCATCAAAAGCCGTCCTATAAAGACAAAGGAGGTGGCGCTCCAAACGCATTATTTCAAGCTCAAGTATCGCAATCTCCTCCTTCAGCTCCACACGAGACTGTACCCCAAAAGCTCATATCAGAAATCAAAATCAGCCACCTAAACACAACATAATATCAGCTACCTTTGGCGTGGTCTGAGTGTCGCTTGAAGAGACAGAAGACGTGAGTGGCTTGTCCTTGTCGGAGTCCCAACAAAGGGAAGCCTCCTGATCAGACAATGCTCTATCCAACTTCACAATCTGACTCGGTACAATTACAATATAGAATACAATAATTAGTCAGTGGTAGTGCTTATCATCAGAACTTGTAGAGTTGTAATTACTAAGTGCCTATTGATCTAAAAGAACCAAATAATAAAAAATAAAAAAAGGGGAGATTAGTACTTAATAGTAATACTTACGGGATTAAAATAGGAAGAGAGTCTAGGTGACATGTTGAGTAGAAACCCGTTATCTGCAGCAGCACCACCACCACTGCAAATAGAAGGGAAGAAAGAAAGAAATTGTGAAATTGAACAATTAAACAAATAAGCAAGAGAATCCAGCTCTTTGGTTTTGAGTTTTGAAGAGTAATTAATACCTTTGGCATTGGCATGGACAAGAGGAAGAGCATGAGCGGCAATGCTCACCCAACATCTTCTTATTATTCTTATTCTTCTTCTCTCACTAATACATCACAGAGGATGGAAACTCTATTAATGTATGCTTTTAATAAACTTCAACCAGGAGTTTTAAGACTTGTTGTTGTAGAAAAAGAAAGCTTCTGCCTTTTGCTCTTGCAATTACACACTATCTAATATCTAGGGATCTATTAGTAAAGAAGAAGAAGAAGAAGAAGAAGCAGACAAAAGTAGAAATAAAATAACAAGTGAAGAAGCTGACATTGCCCAGTAACTGTAAAATTGTGAAAAAGAAAAAGGCCAAAATCTAATTATTAATTTCATTAAAAGTTAGATGACCCACCACCATAATGTATATATGTGGAGTGGGCGTTTGTAGATTAAAAATCTGGAAAAAACAAAAAACAAATTAATAAGTAATAAGGGTTGATATTAAAAACAACAAATCAATTGTGGTAGTGATGAGCAGCTGGTATTGTAAGTAATAAGTACTAGTATTGTCAAAAAAAAAAAAAAAAAAAACCAAGACATTATTCGGTTTTTGTTTTTTGTTTTTTTGTTTTTCTTAAAAAAAAGAATTAGATAAAGAAACAAGAGAGATAGATACTCATTAGATTAGGTGGAGGAAAGTGATGTGTTATGATTAGAACTGCCTTCTTCTTTCTCAAAACAAAAACAAAAACAAAAACAAAAAAGAAAAGAAAAGAAAGCAGGGGAGTCGGAGCAGGTAACCTTGGTAGTGCGGGTGGCTAACCCCATCCATCATCATCATTCTCCCCTCATCTGTTAGATGAGCTGCGTAACCTTCTTATCCATTATTATTATTATTATTTATAATTACTATTACTATTACTGTTATTATTATATAATAGTAGTAGTAATAGTAATAATAATAGGTAATACAATCGCAGTAAGAAAGAAAACAAAAGCATTTCATCGCTCATTGAAATTGAATAGACCGCTTTCTTGTTCTTCATATAGTAAGTACATAATTATATCTTACATTATATATTGAAATTCACCGTATAATGCTTAATAAATTAATTACATCGGCATAAGCAGGGATGACAACAATCATCTATTGCTATTCTATCAGTTTAGAACAGATTGTTACTAAAAAAAAAAAAAAAAAAAAAAAAAAAAAAAAAAAAAGGGGGAGGGGGATAAGGGGATATTTGGCAGGTGTATGTGTGTGGTTGATGAATAGAGGCGCGCGCAGCTGTACGTTTTGTGGGAGCAAACAAGGCGCAACCAATAACGAAATGTCATCATATCAAATCATTAATGCTGCCCTGCCCAGCCCGATGATCCACAGATATCTGGACCTTCACTTTCAACTATATTAATATTAATTCCTTTTAGACACTATTGATTGATTGATAGGGCCTAAATTGGGCCGAGTCTGAGGTGGACAATATCCTTGTCGTGGGCTGGAGAAAAAAGAGGTAGTTCCTTCGCGGGCAGGCTACTAAATGGCCCAGCGGAATTAAATTTACAAAGCAAAGGAAGGACCTTTCTACTTCACCGTTAACAAATTTGTAAATAGAGGAACTAAGGTGGAGTAATTTAATGCAATGCACATTATAAAAGTAATCGAATGTTAAATTTTCATTGTAGTACACCCCGTCCATTAAATAAAATAATTTCTCGTAATAATAATTGGACAGATAGAGCAGGTGGCCAATTAACTCCTATATATTTTTGTGGTCTCTCAAGTGTCATATTTTCTTTCCTACTTTAATGAGGAAGATATTAAGTTTGTAAATACACACACAAATTGGTACTACTTATAATATAGGACCAATGATGATAAAGTTGTAAAGTTACTATAAAGTCAGCCAATGAAAAACAGTAGGCCCAGGAGCTTATTGCATTTTTTGATTGTTAAATAAAAATAATAATAAAAAAAAAAGATATGGTAGTGCACTTTATATCCCCTAGCCTCTTCACTTATAGCAGCAATCTCGGGTATCATTGAGTATGTGAAAAAACTAGTCTCTCACCGACCATCTACTCAGTTTTCACTCCTCCACCTATGGTGTGGCCCACTTAATTTTTCCAAAAGGAGTTGGGCAACCTTTTGCAGAAATGGAAAAGTCGAACTCTGTTGGATGGGCATAAGAAACCTAGCAAAGACGTCCTAATTACCACTAAATCACGGTCCACGACCCTCGGTGGTGAATGGAATCTATGGAATTCTGTGTCTTTGGATTGAAGATCTTCTCTAGACTCCAGTAAAAATATAGTAGTAGTACTAGTAGTGGTAGTAGGTGTTGTCAATTTCATGTGTTAGCAGGTAGATCATTCATCATCATGCTTTCGGATTGATGTGTGATCTTCAAAAATACAAGTGATCATCTTAATTAAGATTGGCAACATAGTATATAAATAATTTTAAATGGTCTTTATACAAGGAGGAATGAATGTGTACGTGTTAATCAAGAGGCAGACAAATAGTCCGTTTGATATGGTATTATATGCATAAAATATAATATATATTACATATAATAGTAAGCTTAATGAGGGGGGTGGGAAATTAAAGGAAGGTCAATAATGGAGCCCGCAGCGGTTGGTTAAGGCAACTCGTGTGTGTGTCTACATCTGTGTTATATATATATATATATATATATTAAGTCCTTACTCTTTTCCTTTGGTATTTGGTATTTGGTTTGTTGTTGGTGTAGGCTCTTCATTCTATTCTAGCACCTAAAGGGGCAAATGTTTTAAAGTAGCCATTTGATATATATTGGAAGCCAAAAGAAACTCTCCGATAATATTAATTAAATAGAATTAGCTAGTAAGGAAATGACATGCACTACAACAATAAAGGTCATTTGCGATGACATTTTTTGTGACGATAAATGTCGTCACAAATAATATAATATTTGTGGCGATATGTCGTCGCAATTATTTTTCATTAAATAAAATAATCATGTCATTGCTAATAACTTAAATGTCGTCACAAATAATTTTGGAGCGCAATTTTCAATGGCGCGGATTTTTGCCTCCAAGGTAATCCATTTTTTGCGACGACAAGTCGTCACAAATAATAAGATATTTGCGACGACATTTGTCGTCGCAAATAATTTCATGTTATTTGCGACGACATTTTCTCTTTGTCGTCGCAAATAATCTTTTTAAGATTTCACCAAAAACTAAACGCGGGAAAATGATTATTTGCGACGACATTTTAAATTTATTTGCGACGACAAATGTCGTCGCAAATAATTTCATGTTATTTACGACGACATTTTCTCTCTTGTCGTCGCAAATAATCTTTTTAAGATTTCACCAAAAACTAAACGCGGGAAAAATGATTATTTGCGACGACATTTTAAATTTATTTGCGACAACAATTTCGTCACAAATAAGTCTGATCTAATATATCCTATCTTCTTCCTCTTCATTTTCCCCCGACACTTTCTCTCTCTCCTGCTAAGTCTTTCTCTCTCTGCCTCTTCTTCCCCTCGCCGTTGCCGCCGCCCGTCGCCACCGGCCCTCTTCTCTCTCTCTTCCCTTCTCTCTCTCTCCTCCCTTCTCTCTTCTTCCCCTCTCCGGCCGCCGCCGCCGCTCCCACCGCCCCGCCCCCGCCACTCCTCTCTTCCCTTCTCTCCCTCTCTTCCCTTCTCTCCCTCTCTTCCATTCTCTCCCTCTCTTCCCTTCTCTCCCTCTCTTCCCTTCTCTCTCTCTCTCTTCCCTTGCTCGTCGCTGCCGCCGCCGGCCCGCCGAATCGTCCGTCACCGCCTCACCGTTCGACGTTTACCGGTATGTTTTACACACTCCAGTAACTTTTTTATTGTTTTTATGTGTTTTGTTGAGTTGTTTGTAAAAATATCGAAATGAAGTTTCTAAACATTTACTATGAGGCTGTGTAAATGTTAGTTTATGACGTTAATTTAGAATTATTTTTGAACTAGTGGTTAATTTATTAATTTACATTATTTATGATGTTAATTTTTTGTGTATTTAAATATGTTACTCTAGATGTTAATAAAATACTAATTTCGGCCACGTTAAATTATGTTCGATGTTTCAATTTGATGTAGGCGTTTAATTTTTCGCCTTCGTCGCTGTTTGCCCGGTTCCTCCGACGTAATCCTGCTATTTTCAGCCCCCGTTTAGTGGGTTTGAACTTTGTAAGTTTTTTATATTTATTGTACTTTTAGTTTAAAATTGTTGTAATTTTTGGTTGTATGATTCGGGATTATGATTTTGATATTTGAACTATGATTTTCTTATATTGTTGAAATTTAGTATATGTTTGTGATTCTTGTTCTGGGTGGCACATCTTGCAGCTATGGTGTACCGAAATCTTTTAAAGTTATTTTTTCTGCAGGTTTAGATTTTTGGATCATAAGAAAAATAAGCCGTTATGTTGCCGAAATTTAGTTAGAAAATGAGAATTTTAATAAGTTCATTAACAAACTTTAATGAATAAAATTTAATTGTGTTAATAAAGAGTAAAATTAAAATTAATTAAACACATTAATAAATTGTTATGTCTGTTATTGTGTATAGTTGAAATGTTGATTGACAAAAGTTGGATTTATTTAAGGAACTGATTGTCGGATCAATATCGGAATGGTTTATCTGCTTTTATTAAGGTCGCCAAAAATTATGAAACTTCAATTGGTCATATCAACTGTCCTTGGCAATATCAGCTGAAGGTGTTAGAGTTTATGGCTAAATTGCAGCCCAACATCCAATTACCTACGATTGATCGTCCAGAACCAGTTGACCTAGATGCTCCTCTGCCTCCTTCAGATGATGACGGTCCTAATGATGATTCAGATGCTGGTGATGCTGCAAACTTAGACAATTAGTTCCGTTATATATACTTTTTTATTTTTCACTTTATTTAGACTTTTATATTTTTTTGAACATTTTATATGCACTTCATGTAGTATTCATAATATATTTTATAAATTTATTTAGATTTACTATTTTTAATATTAATTTATATTTCACTTTTAATGTATCTTAATAAATTCTATTCAGTATGTAACATAATAATGTTTAATTAAAAATTAATTAATTGTCATTTTTTAAAAATTATAAAAAAAATTGATTTAGGCTTTTTGCGACGACTTTTTTAGACTTGTCGTCGCAAAAAAATAAGATTATTTGCGACGACAATTTAAATGTCGTCACAAAAAATGGATCATGTCACAAGAAATTTACAACGACGTATTAGCAACGATTATCGCCGCAAATACATTTGTGACGATACTATGTCGTCACAAAAAACGTTTTTGCAACGAATTATTTACACCGACAAATTTACGACGAATGTCATCGTAAAAAACCTTATTTGCAACGACATGCGGGTTTTTGCGACGACAAAAATTCTTTTTTCTTGTAGTGATGGGATTCGCCAATATTTCATTTAGTTAGAGAAACTATTCAATAGATCGGTCCGCCCATAGACGACACGTATGTACCCATCCAGTCAACGGTCAACCAATTAATTAATTAATTAATTAGAATATAAATGAAGGTAGGTAGCTTGGCAAATCTGCCCGCCCTAGGATGGATATGCATTAATGTGCAATTGTTTGTTTTTTAAATTTTGGTTGTGGAGGAATTTGAATTCTACAACTTAAGTGAAGTTGTGGATTTTATTACTACGCTATTAATTATAACTGCAAACCACTTTGCCTCAGTTTTTCGTTTAATTGATATATAATGATGATGCATACAATTGTATGAAGAATAAACTCCGATCAATTAATAAACAGCTCAGCTTATGGCTGTTGTTTTGCTACTACTATCATTTATCTGTTGTTGATCAGCATCATTTATGTACGTGTGTGCATAATACGTTCAAGTGTAAGCAATCGTTGCTTGAAACTAAATAATAACACCAATACGTAAGTAATCAATCGTTGCTTGAAAGACTCAATTAAACGTATAATCAAGATTTGTGGTCTTATTTTTTTGTCTCGTTGATTGTTCTTCTAGTTAAGTTTTAACAACTCGTGATTTATTTAAGTATTTTTAGTATTTAGTTTATATTTATGTGGTTAAATTATTAAATTTAAATGACATGGTAAATAAATAACGGGACAGCCAATAAACCAGACAAGAAAATTAGAGACAGTAGATTCTAGATTGTCTATATTTGTTTGTGGTATATGTGCATGTTTGTATGCCTCTATATATATATATATATAATTGGGATGTGGTTGATAAAAACGTCGATGCTTGCAATTGCCCTAAAAAACTTTGGACGGCATTCGACGTGGGGAAATTAAAGATAGAGAACTAGCTAGAGACCGGTGAAGATGTTTTTATGTTTTATCATAAGTAGTAATGGTAGGCGCTTTATTAAGTATACATGAACAGTTACTCATCGCAAGAGAAAAACTAATGGATCGTGAGATTATAAATACAGGAAAATCAATAGATCATGTGAGAGATAAATGATCTTTTTATTTTATCGATTTAAGTTTTTAATTTCTATTTTATTATATTAAAAACTTTCAAAAAAATTACATATAATATTTTTTACTATAATTAAAAATTTTCACGTAAAATTACATCTAATATTAAACACTCGACTCATCAAAGTAAAGAAGACGTAGTGTTCAAATTAAGAGATTACTAACAGATATAGAAATATATATATAGAGAGAGAAAAAAATGAAACATGGTTTATACTAGCCAATACTATACTACCATTGGCCAATGGGAGGGACCCACTGCCCAGCTACATATACACATAAAATTCCTATTTTCCTAGCTCCGACATAATAATAACAATAATACATAATATTCTTACATGTCATTGGACAATGAGAATTCATGTATTACACTGCTAGCCAGCTAGCTGTATCGAATCGATCGATCGATCGGTCATCAGTGCACTTTCACACTAAAGCTCATCATTACAATTACAATATATATATATATATATATATATATATATATTAATATTAATAATAGTAAAAGTTGCCGTATGCGTTGGATGGGTGAGGCTTGATATATTATGAAGAGCGGAGCAGAAAAATACTGAGCTGCTGGGCGGAGGAGGTACCGGTTGGGTTGATCATGTGAAAAGACTCTGAATCAGGAGATCCCATCACACGCTCGAAGGTGGCTCTCATGTACATGAGGTCGCCGTCGGGGAGGACTCCGGCGCCGACCGAGACGGACTGCATCTGCTTGAGTACGGCAGCGTCGGAGACAGACATCTGGCGGCTGACGGCAAAGCCGACTTTACGGCCGTTGCAGTACATGGACCACAAGGGCACTTGAAAGAGAGAGCAGGCGGAAGAGGAGGTGGAGGAGCACTCGAGGGCTATGCGGAGGAGGCCGCACTGCATCTCTCTGGCTAAATAGGCGGTGGGAACGGCGAACTCCAGGAGGAGGAGAGGGCTGCTGCGGGTGTCGTCTTGGAGGCAAAACGACACCCTCCCCTTCCTCTGCCCAAAGAACGTCCCAGTCAGCCTCATCACCCTCACCGGCGGTGGCTGTGGGGTACTCGATATTGTCGTTTCGTTGTGGGTCCAGTACTCCCTGTAAGCGGATGACGGTGATGATGAAGAAGAGGTAGGCTGAAAGCCACAGCAGGCAGGCACCATGCACTCCACCAGCGTCCGGAGTGAGCGCCTCATCCTCATTTCGCGGCCACACTCCACCGTTGTTGCGGTGTCCATTATCTGCAGGCTATGGCTTCCCAAGTCTATCATTCTCATCTTTCTAATTTATATATAACCTGATCACGACACGATCGGGTGCAAGAGGAGGAGGAGGAGGTGGTGGTGGTTTAGCAATATGATGATTGGGTAATTAACAATACGCACAGGCGGGTGTGAAGTTTGCGGTGGATTTCGGATATTAATATTATCATATATAGAACAAGTAAAAGGAGGCACCGCCAAGGTGGGCCCAGGAATCGTGTACAATAATTCTGCCCACGAGGGCTTGTGGGACCCTGTCTTTACTGAGAGCTTTATTTAAGGGTCTATTCACTATTACAAAAATATTATTTATCATCATCATTAAAATCATGAGACCCTCCACCCAAATTGTAATAATAATTATTATTAAGACTTAATCGTCCTCATTTCGATCAATAACTACTGCATCATATGCCAATGATTCCGCACAAAAACAGCCCAAATAATTTATAACTAGATTTCTACATGTATGTATTAATAAGCTAGATCTGATAAACTTAACTAATATGGATATCGATTAGAAAGTTTCCGCTCTTATCCCTTCTTCACTTGCAATAAACTAAAAGTATAAACAAATAAGTAAAGGAAACACACAAACAAACAAACAAACTAAGAAGCAAAGAAAAAGACGAGTAAAAAGGTGGTGTGGCCGGCTAAGTGGGTAACAGACGTGGGTTGAATCAGAGAATGGAGTTAAAATGGCATCAGGGCATGTAAATACATACATACATATATATATATATATATATATGTGAAGATCATGGAAAGGAAGCATGCAAGAGGCAATGATTAGACCCCAGCAGTCATCTCTGTCCCCAACTCCATGCTACTTCATTCCTCCTTTATAAACAAAACCCACAATATCATCCTAATTACTATTACATGCATGCCCACTTTTTCCAATGTTTTATCTATGTCCAAGAATTTTAGAATAATACCATCTATCCAAAAATTAAAATACTACTACTTAAGTAGTATTACCAGTATTTATGTTATGTGTTGTTTTAGTAAGACGTACGGTCAAATATTTGCTTTCTCCCTCGACAGAGGATCGATTTTAGACCCAACTGTATTATATATTCTTCTCTTGTTTAATTTGTCTGATTGTCTTTAATGAATTCTTCGTTAGACCCAACTGTATTATGCAAATCATTATTAGATTAGATTTTAGATTTTCTCCATATATACATATAATATATAGCCAAGTACCACCCAAGTCATCAGTCGATCATGCATCTAACCCGAACTTTTACGTCTAGTTGCCTGTTAATATACTGCATGCAGGTCACTCAATGAAATATCACGTTCCAATTATTATAAGTATAACCAATGCTAAGTAAATTCAGAGAAAAAAACATGTCTTAATTAATTTATAGGAATCCTTACTCTCTATATATATATATATGTATGTATTTGTGTATAATATTACATATGAGAGAACTGCTCTCGGCCCCACCCGGGTAGTGGTGATTAAGAGAACTAGGTTACTTTGCACGCTTGAGAGTTTTTTTTTTTTTTTTGGACGGCTTATGATTCAATAATTCAATGCCTCTCATACCATTGCTTTCCACGCCCACTAGAAAAGCTAATGTGTTGGTGTGTTTTGTTATATTGTTTGTTCCCCGACTTTTTTCATGGACCAAACAATGTTACTTTCTTTCAGTCCGTGGGAAAGACACCCAATAGCAATTAGCATGCCAACTTTTGTGTGGACTCATGGCAGCTGGGAAGAAGAAAACAAAATATTAGGATGAGCTGCATCCATCCACAATATCTTCTTTTTTCTTTAGGTCTTTTTATGATTGGTTATTCTTGCCCGTGAATTTAAACGTTATATCACTTCAAAATCATGTAGCAATATATATATATATATAAATGCAAAATCAAATAGAGATGCCCTTTTGAAGTTTAGTAATTGGGTCGTCGCAATCATTGCTCTCATGGCATGCCTCAATCCAGTCCCAATCCAAGCGTGCCTCTCTGCCTGTCATCACATTCTAACACACATTGCATTGGCATATGCACATTTGATGGGTCCTTCCTTGGCCCTCGTGAGAGCATATTTGGTCTCTTATCATTATATTTCTCTATTTTGGAATAGCAATCCCTTTACGACTCACCAATTCAACACTTGCCCTCTATTATATTTCTAATTTCTTTTTGATAGGACAATTTTTATAGTTTTGTGGATTATTATCACTAGTACTTTTAAATTTTAGGATAATTCTTAATTTGTCCTCTGAATTTTAAAAACTCTCATTTTGTCTCCCTGAATTTTAAATTATTTCCACATAACTTATTTTGTCATAATTTATGCTAAAACCTGATAGAAAAAAATAGAGTAATACAGTCACGTGATTTTCTTGTATGAATTTATGTTAAAAAACAAATAAATAAAACAACAAGTCCACACTAATTAATCTCCTCTTATTCTGTCTGAATTCACCAGAAATTCTTTCAAATGAGCTTAAATAAGACAAATTCAAAATTCAGAAAGTAAAGTAAGAGTTTTTAAAATTTAGAGAGTAAAGTGGGAATGGCCCTATAATTAAAGTTTAGGGGGCACCAATAAGATTAATACTAATATTATTAATTATTAAAGGGCCTTTTAGCTATTCTGCTTTTGTAATTGTTTTCGGACCTTTTTTAATAATTAGTTTATTAGTTTATCTATGATTAATTAGTTTATTTTATAATTGCTTTTCCCTTTCGTTTATGATCAATTAGTTTATAAACTCCACGATATCAGTGTGCCTTGTGGGATGTTCTTAGTTGAAACACCACCCCATTTATGGATCATATACGTAGTAATATGTGTGACACAAATGGTGATGAATAGTATTTTTCTTTTGAGGATCGAACAGAGACTTGCAAGGTAATAACAATTATAAGGGCATCAATGGCACCCGACAGCCAAAAATCAAAATGGGAAAACGTCAAATTTAGAGCCACGACGCAGACAGGAGATGGCGACAAATAGCATAGTAGAGTAGCGCCAATGAGACACAGAAGATGTAGTAAGGAAGGAGGGGACAACAACAGTTTACTGCTGTTAATATATAGCCTAGATATATATACATGCATATATATATATATAGCCGATATATATACAGAGCTTTTAAGTCATATATGAAAGGTATATTTTTTGAGCAGATGTCACAAAGAGTGTTATATCACTTTCTGTAACACTTTTGATAAATTGTATTTCAAATTCAACAACGACTAACTAATCAAGTAGGAAAAAAATAATACAGTAAGGAAAGAACACCAAAAAATAGTATCGCGGTTCGGTGCGCACACCTACATTCATAGGGCTACGCCCAGACAGTGAACAATCACTAAGATGAAATGATTACAAACACTTCACGGTCTTATACACTCAAAGATTTCTTTCTTAACGATCTCGACGTTGTGAAAAATCTTCTTAGAGGACTTGTCTAACAAGCACCACTCGTTTTCAGAGACTTTCTCCTAAAAGTAATACGTTATTCGTCCGAAGAACACACTTTTGCACTCACAAATCAAAAACTCACATACAGAGACTTTTTCTCAGAAAATTTCTCTCAAAACACATAGAATCATATGCACAACCCTTGCTATCTGAAAAGTATTATCTCTCAATACAAAAGGCCAACTTTTTCACGTTCAATCTTCCTCACCACAACAATACATTCAATCACCCTACTTTTCAAAATCTCCTAGCTGTAACGTTAATGATCTCAGCACCAAAAAGCAATCAGCAACATTTCTTTCCCAATTAGAATCAATCAAATAAACAACAATGTCAACCATTGCATTAAATCTCCCAAATATTTTCTGAAATTTCCTTGCAAAAAATTCTGATTTCCATAAGCAAAACATTCCATATTTAGACTCAATCAGTAAGCTATTCCATATTCGGTACAATCAAGCAACTAAAATCACCTTTGATCTCCATCATGAACACCAGTTACTAAGAGTACCTGTTTTTGAATTTTTTACAATTAACCAACAAATTGCCAACTAACAAAAGTCCTAACAATATCAGCTTTCTGAGTGTGAGTGGCCAACCAAATGGGTCCTGAGGACGAAAGGCATCTCATGCAAATATATATTATCCTTCCTTCTTCCTTCCACCTTTCCACCTCTAACCCTTGTATTTCATTACTATATTACATTAATTAATATTATTCAGCTTCAATATCACTACTTTTTTTTTGCCGGACCAAACACCTTATGTGATATGTCCCATTGATTGACTCCGAATATATACGTACACACACACACACACATATATATATATATTATATATATATATATTATATGTTGCCTCGTCCTTTTGGAGGTTAATTTCAACCGTCCATCTGCATACAAAAATCCAATTTGCTGTTTTCTTGATTATATATGCAATTTACATGATATAGCCATGTCTTATCAGTATATGTTATCGAGCCGAATCCCCACTCAGCTAATCGGAGCCGTTGAATTTTGACCCCGACGGTTGTGTTGCATTTGCTGACCAATCCGACACTTTTTCGTACTGGACTGGAGACCAGTTTTATTGACATATACTTAGATATATGTATATATATGTACATATGGAATGGCGACATAGAGAGAAGCCGATTACAACACTCAATATGCCCACGATAGGCCCAACCCAATAGATATGAGGTGCCCAGAGACTGAGACCGAGAGTGATGAATTTGGAATAATCTTAATAAATATCTTTTTGAGGGTGGAGGGTAAGAATTTTTATTTTTTACTCTTAACTTATAACATTTTTAATTAATTAATTATATTAATAAAATAATATTTATTAAGAATAAAAAGTACAAATTTAAACTCATATACTCTTAAAAATAAATTCTTTATATTTACTAGCTCTCCAAAAATAAAATAAATTAAAGTTGGCCCTTTTCATCTTCTTCTTGTGAGCTACAACCACTTGCTAGTTCTAGTTCTTTCCTCTAGCCTTTTGGCGGCATTGAATCTTCTAAGCGAAAAGCTGGGTGGTGACCAAGGGCTTTGAATTTTGAAAATTCAAGTTTAACATTAATCATTAAAATTTCTATGTCCAACCAAAAAAAATTAAAAAGAAAAGTAAAAACGGTTTCTTTTCTATGAAATTGGTTGGAATCTGCTAGGAAATTAAAATGAGGAGATGGTTTAGTGGAGGCCAAGTTTTCTAGTTCCCATCTCTGTACTCTTCTACTTCTACAAAGTCAAGCCCCGCATTGTCCGTAAATTGTTCTCTCTTTGTACATATTGATTGAAATGTTATGTCGTATAAAAGTTTTTAGAATAACATTTAGCGTAATAAAAATAAAAAATAAAAACAAAAATGATTTTTTAGTTTAGTGTAAAATGAGAGATAAATAAAAAAATGACTTTTAGTCGTTTTTCATTTTTTATTTTTGTTTTCTCATCTCTTGAGCAGAGAGAAAAAGATAGAGATATTAATGGGTTTTTTTATACTGAAAATAATCTTTTGATAAAACTACCAAACGTATTTTTAAAAATGATTTATGTCTGAAATTGAAAACGTTTTTATTTTTATTTTTATATAAAAAATAAAATCATTTTAGAACGAATCTCAAACGCACTCTTATTGTTTCAAACATAACATCAAGCAAACTAACGGCCGGCTTTAACTTCCGAGTATAATCTAGTTTGAACAATTTCTAATTGGTGCCAAATTTCTTGTTAACGATATACCATCCAACAAACGTATATCGTAATGACATTAAAAATCCAACACAAAGTCTGGTGTTCTTCAGTTCTATTCTCATTGTGTTTAGTTATCATCTATTTATTCGGCTAATTCAACTGTGTTTTCAATTTGGTTTGCTGAGAATTTTTTGTGGAAAGTACATGTTTTAGTTTGATTTTTTACTTTTTTTTTTTTTTTTTGTATGAACAAGTTTTGGTAAAGAATTTGAAGACCAATAGGGTCAATTTCTTATTAATAAATGTACGTCGTATAAGAAATTTTATTATTAGAACGGGTATTAAAGGCTAGAAAAAAGTAGAGTTTACAGACATGATATGAAATGATCATTCTATAGTAAGGATCTCGAAGGATAATATATGTTTCTGAGTATTAAATTTGATTAAAATCAACTCATTGAATTTGATACAGATATCAACGCCCTACCCTATGCTTCTACATGAACATGAAAAATAAAGCAGGGAGAGAAAGAAGGATAATAAACAAAAAAGGCATGACTTGAAATGTTCAAAAGCAAATAATAATAATAAACAAAAAAGGCATATTGAGTTGGATGGTATGAAACAATGAATAATCCGTGAAAGATCGTCTCCGTCTCAATGGAAATCAAGGATTGACGTGAGTGACAACGCATACGCAATCAGCTGTGTTAGTCATCTCTAATTAATCCCTTCCTCAAGAAATCCAACTTCATCCGATTTTTTCATAATTAAAGTAAATACCGATATTGACTGCCTCCCTTAATTCGTCTTCCCACTCTGATTTGACCACCATGCATTTCTCTTTTTTCAATTACTTTTTTAAATATTTCGATTTAGATATTTACAAGCAATCAATTTCTAATAGATTGCTTATCCGAAAGAGAAAGGGTTTGAAAACAAAACAAAAAATAAAATGAATATTAAAAAGGGAATCAAATATTTTGTTCAAGTGTATTCTTAATTTCATTTTGGAGAGTAAATACAGAAAGAGGTTTTTTTTTTTTTTTTTTTTTACTAGGTTACAGTTAATTTAAAGTATGTGTATTGGTCCTATTGGAGACTTGGTTTAGCTCAAATTGTGTGAGTTTGAACCTTAATTTAAAAGTATAGGGGGTTAAGTTCTCTAAAACCCATAGTTTTGGGTTTCTAAAGATTCTCAATCAAACTATGTTCAAAATTTGAACAACTAAACATGGATTTAAACCGGATAATGAATTTAAACCCATTTAAATGGTATGAAAAAGAAAGAAAGATGAATACGAAGAAACTGTGAACATGTATTTGTATACACAGATAGAGAGAGAGAGAGAGGTTCCTAACTTTTGTCTTTTTGATGAAAAGCAACAACAGAAGAAAAATAAAGATTCACCAACCAACATGTACCTTGTACACACCGTCCTTTGGTCCAAATTGCACAACAAGCCGCGTTCTCATTTTAGACTTCGTCATCCATGTACCCATTTATTATTTTCCTTCTTTTTCTTTTTTTATAATCCAATCATACAGTAATCATAGCTGAATTTCTTTATTAATTTTTTACTTTTGCCACGAATGGCTCATGAATTTCTATCGATTTTATTATACAGTAGAATGATTTCCCTTGCTACTTTTTGATAGGTTAATAATAAACATTTTAAAATTCCAATACAATTTTATATTTCATTGTCACATATAGGTAGGATTTGGTAATAAATCTTTTGTTTCCTTATTCTGCTTTGATTCTTGTACTGGCGAAACGAAAGAATCAAAAAGAGAAAGCATCGATGAAACAGAAAGAACAAAGATATAACAGTCATGAATTAGGATGTTTAAACGATTCCATATATATATATATATATATATATATATGTGTGTATATATATATTGTTTTGTAGTATACATAACATTGGGTTTCGTGCACACCCGACACGATTCAAAAGACAAAATCAATCGAGTATAGATATAAAGCGATTGATAAAAAAGAACAGAGAGCAATACATTGATTACATGCTCGCTAATTAACCAAATAAAAGAATAAAAAAACAGAAGAAGAAAAGATTTGCAAGAATTATAAAATAATTAAGGTGTTCATTTCAATTTCACCCACTCGAGAAAGAAATACCAAAATATGTGATTATGTATGGAATTGGATTTACAAAAATTCGTGTCCACCGATCGAACAAATGATCCGAGTAAGGACTGACTAGGAGAGGATGGTACCTTCGTAGATGGTGGTGAGTCTGAGCCTAAAAGATCGGACGGCCAATTTGGCTCTTCTAGAAGCGAATCTCTGCAACTTTCTCACCGATCCCGATCTCGTCATTCTTATATTACTACTATTATTATTGTTATTATGGGAGGCCGTTGAATTCTTTTTCTTGATGGGGCGGCCAGTTAATCCAATGGTCAGATCATACTCGTAGTCCTGGGGATGCACGTATTGTATACCGGCACCGCCGTCCTCTGAAGTAGAAACATGAACATGTTTTTTGTGGTACCGGCCATTAAACATGGAAATAAGAGGAGAAACGCGTCCGGCTTTGTTGCGGCGGCGAACGGAGGAATTGCTAATAATATTGCCGTTGGTATTGAGGGCGGCGGAGGCTTTGACAGCAAGAGATGCCATGTCGACGGCGGAGAGAGGTTGTTGTCTCTTGGATTCAGGAAGGAGGAAGTAGATCTGGTTGGGGCGGAGTTGTTCCTCGAAAGAAAGAGACGGTATGAGTTCGTCGTAGTACAAACTGTCGGAGTTGCAGAGGAAGTACGATATTGACGATGATGATGATGATGATGAAGAGGTAATTTGGGCGGAGGCGAGTACTTGGGAGACGAGAACGGGAGTGGCGTACTGACGGAGAGCGCCATCCATGGAAATGACTTTGGCAGTATCCGCCGAGTCGGAGTGAGAATATTGTGAGGGATAATATTTAGACGATGGCTGTCGACGAACGCCCATCTTCTTCATGATTCGAGAGCAGCAACTTCCCATTTGATTTTGATCACTTCTTGATTTTCTTTATTCGTTATGGTCTTATTATATATAGAGAAGGAGAAGAGAAAAAAAAAAAATATATATATATATATATATATATAATTATATAATTATATATTGGAGGAGGTGTTCGACGAATTGATTCGAGTGGAGTGGGGCACAGATGAAAAGTCAATGATGGCATCATACATGACGCACACACGCAAGCAGATGCAAAGGAGGGCGTTTATTTTTAGAGTAATAAGTGCGTATTTGGTGATGTCGTTACGAATGGACTGGACTAAACACCTTCTTCTTCTTGAGCTCCAAGTATTGCCACGTGCGCTTTCCAATACGTGTATTACTCAGATGATTCAGCGGCCTACACTAACGTACATTTTTTTAAAAATAAATAAATATATATCTTGACTCTTCTCCTCTTTCAACCCACGTACCCCCATTGAATTGAGGGTTGAAGAAGCATCCGCACACCCCTATTTCTTTCTAGTCTCTTTCATCTAATCTAATATTTTTCAATAGGAAAATCATGTATATTTTATGTGTATTTCTTATTTTTTAAGTGAAAATTTCTTTCAAATTTAACAAGTTACATATTTAATAATATTCGCAAATGGCCGCCAACTACAAAGGATTTCAACCTTGAACATTAATTAAATCCACCAGTATTAAGGGTGACAATTTGTGTTGTCGTATTATGTTCGTGTTGTGTTGACCCCTTCAATTGATATGGTAAGACCTGACACGAACACGACCTATTTATTATTCATGTCAAAATACAAAACTCAAAACACGACATGTATATTGGTGGGTTGACACGACTAACTCATTTGTTAAATAGGTCATAATAGTATCGTGTCAACCTGTTTTAAATAATCCATTTGTTAACTCGTTTATAAAATAAGTAATAATAAGGTCGTATCAACCTATTTCTCAATATGTTTCTCAACATAGGTAACAAACGGGTTGTAATTGTATTGTGAATTCGTGTTACCTAAATATGACACGTTTAATAAACGGGTTACGACGGGTCAACCTGAAAAATTACACACTATTTAATCTTGTTTTACGGGTTCGACCTAATTTTGACCCAAACCTATTTATAATAAACCTAAACCTACTAACTTCGTGCAGGTTTCGAGTCGTGTCGCTACCCAGATTGCCAGCCCATACCAGTATAGATGAATAAAGCACAATGGCAAACAAAGTGTCAAGACCCAACAGAGAAAGATCCGCTTAGCACAAATAAAATTGAGTGCAACCAAAGCTCACTACAAAGAGGCATACAATCGATGAATTAATAGCAATGGACTAAGACCAAATCCTGAGGAACGCGACATAAAACAAATCTAGCAGTAAACGAACAAATACACCATCAATAACCAACTCAGATAGGTGGAACACACAAACCACTTAAAAAGCTATAGATGGCCTCAGCCAAACGGAAAGAAATGTCGGCGACAAGCCAACCACGGCAGTACGAAGGCTAAAGAACCTGTATTTGAGTAAAGTTACTGTAGAATAAACGCGACCACTACATCCACCGCCCCTTCCCCGAACCATAATGACGAAGAGGCTGAGACACTAGAGCAACGGCGTCACTAAACTCTAACTAGCTAGATCTACGCCTCTATCGCCCACGAACCATGCCTATTTTCTCCTATATGCTTTTTTTTAATTAGTTCCTATTGAGGTAATGATCTTTTTTTTTTTTGCTATTTAAGGTAATGTGTCTTCGATATGTCGTTGTTTAAACTTGTTTTCCCCTATTGCTCTTAAATAGTATTTTTAATATGTATCACTTAATTAATTAATTTCATGTCTAATATGCCCTCTAAAATAATTTTATTCATACATGTTCTACTTGTTTACACATGTTTCGCTTTAAATAATCTTATTTTTCAAATGTGCTTTTAATAAATATTTTTTCCCTAATACCAACTGAAATAATTTTTTCTCAAATATTTTCATGTTTAAACATCATTTTTCCTACAAACCACTCATATACTTCTTTCTCATGTGTAACCACTAAATAATATAATTTACTTCAATAAAAACTTTTTTTCTTTTATATGTTCTCTATTTAAATGTATATTTTACTAAATTAAGAGAGTAATAAATCAAAAAAATATTTTAAAGAAAATTTCAGATATTCTGCGTAAAAAAATTAACAAACTGAATACACATGTGCACAGCTAGCACGTGCTTATAACTAGTAAATAAATAATAAAAAAAGTAAACCATGTACTGCTCTTGCTCATTCCACAAATTAAACACAACAAAATTAATATAATTTTATAAGATAAAACATGTACTGCGCATGTAATAATAGAACTAAAAACTAAACCATATTCAGCCATCAAGTACTCCTTACTCCGTCAAGAGACAAGGAAGAAGATCATTCTTTCATGTGGCCTTGAATATATATGCATATACATATACATATATATATATATTAATTTCTTAAGAAAAAAGGATAAATAAGTCGTACTCTTGAGCTGGTGTTAATTAAACACAGAAATCCATTAACCTAACGTTTATGGCCTGTATTATTTGACTATTTGACTAATATTGCCAGTTTTCGATGAGATATGAATGCAAAATAATCAAACTTATTTATCTCTTTTCAATTATTGTGATGAGATTCTTTTTTTTTTTTTCCTAGTGTCAACATGAAAGACTTTGAAGATGCAATACATATCTCATATCATATCATATGATCATGTTTTAAGACTTTAACGTGATAACCACATACATCTAATTACCCCTTTCAAACGATCTTAGAGTCATATTTGCAATAGAGAATCTTTCTATATATATATATAT